ATAATATTCCATGAAAATTAAAACTGAAAGAATGAATTTTTAAAAATTTGAAATACAAAAAGGTAGTTTTTTTTTTTATGAAACACAAAATATTTAATTGTATCAATTCGTAAACTTTATCAATTAGTACTAACTAAATCTGACCGAATTCTAATTACGTAAAATCACATAATCGTATTATCAAAAGTCACATGCGTGTATTTAAGAAGTATATTACTAATATAGATAAGGATTAGAGATTTGTTGCACAATATAAATATAGAGGGTGTGCACTCTCTAAATCCTAGCTTGAGATCGAGATAAAGTGTATATATAAAAAAGTTGTACACTTATAGGTGATGCACTTATAGAGAGTTGACTGTATATTGATAAATGATTAATCCTTTTATAAATATAATCGTTGAAGCAAATGTAGGAATTAATAATAACAATAAACTCATGAAAAAAAATAAACATTGAAAAAATATAAATATTAAAAATTTTTCTGAATTAGTTTTATAGATTTAGATTGAAAAAACATATATAATTATATATATATTTATTAGAAATATGAAAAGTATAAATCCAGAATGTTGTTCATAAAAACAAACTTCTAAAATTACCTTTTTTAAAATTAACAAATGGTTTTCTTCTACTAATAATTCAAGACAAAAATAACTATTTTTAAATATAATATATATCACTTAATATCTAGATTTAACAAAATTAATAAAATATAATGAATATTATTCTTTAATTAATGCTAAATAATATACATAGCTTGAATGTAAATAAAGTAATCAAATTTATATTAAAACATATAAAAATTTCAAAATTTAGAAAAAGTGTAAAAATTGTATTATTAATATAATATAATAACTTTAAATTAATAAATACATTTTTATATTATATAAATTATAATTATTTTAATAAAACAAAAAAAAATTACAATATATTTATTATATATAAAATATAATATAATTATCTTAATAATTAGAAATTTTTGATTTTTTTATATTTTCATAAATTACATAAAATTTTGCTATGATTAAAAAAAAAGGGAAAAAATGATTTTTGTTGATCATTTCAAAATTGAACGTGTTTTGCTAGAATTTAAAAATTTAATACGATAAGTAGTGCCCACGGGTTTTCAATAATATATTCATCAAACATATTTAAATTATTCTTCAAAGTTTTAATAATAGGATGATTGATAAATGTCCAATAATACATATCAAATAAAAAAGCAAGAAGAATTTTGTCATAATTGTATCATTGAAATCTCCTCATTATACATAAAGTCGAAATGGATCATTTCGGATATTTGAAATGGTCGAAATGGTCGAAATCATTTCGACCATTGAAGGCTAAAGTTGCGAAAAAATGCAAAATATGCAAAAAAAATTTTTTATATAGTAAAAATAAAAAATTTCAATTTTATTTATAAAAAATTGTTAAAAAAAAAAAAAGATAGCGATGATCAGATTTATGTTAATTTTCCTTAAATGGTAAATTCGATTTAGATCACGTGAAAAATGCAAAAAGTGTCTCAATAGTGCGAAAAGTGCGATGCATATGTTATGCAAAATTATAGAGCATTAAAAAGAAAATTGTCTTAAAAAATCATCGCGACTTAAGTATCCACGAAAAATATTTATAATGTTAAAATATATTAGTAATAATACAAAATCTATATCTTTCAATACATTTAATATCAAATTGTTAACTAAATGTTTAATAGCTTTTCCAACACGGGTAACATTAACGCATTCCCAAATACTTACAATAATGCCTATTATATCATCAAGGAATATAACCATCCTTAAAAAAAATTCAACAATGCCTTCACCGGTTCAAACACTATTAAGAAATATCGATATATCATACTATTATACTACAGATTCTACTTTACTGTCAATAAATGGAAAAGGAGGAGAAAGGAGGGAGAATGATAGAAATATAAGTAATTCATTAGAAATGTTAATAATAGAGTTTAGGAAAGCAATTCAAGAAGGAGATGTGGATAAACTTATATTGAATTATCACGCATTAAAAGAACGAGAAAGAGAACAAGGAAAACCTCAATATCAGCAAAATTATTTGACAAAGTCGCATTACCAAGCGGCAATAAATCTTTTACTTCGTTCCATAAATAATTTCTCACGAGAAGCGACTTTACCATTAACACCACCATCAAAGTCATCAACCATGGTTTCAATAATGCATTCATTATTCAACGATATGAAAGGATTGGGGTATAAACCAGACACATCAATATATAATATATTGATCTATATAAGCGCACGTAATGGAGATACAAAAGAATCAAGGAGGATTTATGAAACGATGTTAAAAAATAAAGTAAAATGTACACAATATACATTTAATTCATTAATATCATCATATCAACGATCATTGGATATTAAAGGTGCATTGAATGTATTAGAAGAAATGAAATTGTATGGAATCCAACCTAATACCATCACCTATAATTCTTTAATTGATTTATACGTTAAATTAGGGGATATTAAACAAGCCGAACTTCTCTATCAAGAAATGAAGTTTACATTTGGAATGATAATCGATAGGTTTACTTTTGATTGTTTATTAAACGGCTATTTAACTTATGGATTTATTGATAAAGCAAGAGATTTATTTAAAGATATTACGAATAGTGGGATAGAATTAGATATTTGCCTTTACACGAAATTATTAAAGATTTATTGTTATGAAGATGGAAATTCTCAAAAAATGTTAAGCCTATATGATACAACTGAAGTTCTTCAACGACAACGAAAACAAAAAGAAAATAATATCGAATTTAATCATTTTATAAGTACGTTACTTAATTATTTGATTAAAGAGAAAGAGTATTCTCATACGTTAAGAATATGTGAGGATTTAATGAAATATGATGATACAGTTACCTTAGCCATAATTATTCCAGCTTATTATCATACTGGTGACATGGCTCATGCTTTTAAATTATTTAAAGAAAAGTTCATTATTAGTGCAAAAAATCAAAAATTATTTTCTTCATTATTCTCAAATTTAGGTAAAGACCATTCAAAACATTTTTTAAATTATTTCATTTCTCACTCAAAAGAATCATCATCCCCTTCAAGTGAATCACTTCCAATAAGTGATCTGTACAATTCAATGATAGCTCATTTTTTAAATCAAGATGATATAGCCTATGCATTAGAATTATATTCACAACTTTTGCAACAAGGTTTCTTTCTAAATATAATAAATATAACAATATTATGTAAAAAGTTAATATTACAAAAAAAAATTAATGAGGCGTTACAGATTTATTATCAATCAAGAGATCGTGATATAATATTAGATCAACGTGGCTACACAATTTTAATAGATTCTTTTTCAAAAATCAATTATATGTCAGAAGCTCAAAGGATGTTAGTTGATATGAAAAGAAATGGCTTAGAGCCAAATTCATTTACATATTCTTCATTAATTAAAGGATTTGGAGAAATTTATGATATACGAGGGGTAGAAACAATTCATAAATTAATTCGAATGGACTTAAATCTTGACCAAGTAGATATTATAATTTATAATTCATTAATGGATGCTTATAATAGGTGCGGTTATGGTTATAATGTTTTACAATTATGGGATTCTTTATTATTACCTTCAAAAGATAACGATTTATCATTAATTAATAATACTACTGTATCTATCGTATTGGATTCTTGTGGGTTTAATAGACAATTATTTAGACTAAATCAAATTTGGTATTATCTAAAAGAAAAGAAGTTTAATTTAAATCAAAATAATTATTCTTCCTATATTGAAGCGTTAGCTAGAAATCAAAATTTTAATGAAGCAAAACATGTTTTAATGTTTGAAATGATTAATGATGGTATTGTACCTAATTTTAAACCTATTAGAACTTTATTAAATTTCTTGCATGATCATTCTAGAGGTAGAGATCAATTTGAAATTATTAATTGGGTTAAAATTAATTTTCCTGATTTAGCTGAAGAATTAAAATTTAGTTAATAAAGTACAACTTTAAAAATATATATATTATATATATATTTGTCTTCACTTTTGTTTTTATTTATTAAAAAGGATAGGTATAGGTAGCACTCCAAATTATGTAAGCAGCAAATTTTCATTTATCATGATCGATAAGCTCATTTCGAATTCCCAATGCATCTGCAACAGTGAACCTCCATCCACAATTATCATTTTTCACTTTTTTAATACCTCTGGTTAATATCCTTTCTTGCCACTCGGAATATTCAATTATTAATGGCCCATCAACTGATTTTTTTCTCTGATCTGAATACATTTTCACAGATTCTTTATCTACTGTATCTGTTTCTTGTGTTAATTCCAATTGCTGATCAAATTCTTGTTTTTTATCCTTTTGACGCTTCTCTATTCTCTTTTTTTTTTTGCGATTCTTTTTGTTGCTCGAGGACTCATTATCAACATCAATTTCTGTTTTTGATTTCTTATGAGTCGCTATTATACGTGTATTATCAATCAGATTCACGATAGATAATAAAAAGATATATAAACTTTCTTCAGCCTTGAATGAAAAAGATAACAAAGGAAGTGCTTGAGCAATAGTATAAAATAACACAATCAGGTAATTCAGTGTAGAATTAGGCATCATAAATGATTCCTATAAGAAATTAGATTAAAAATAAATAAATTAATTATAATAATTATTATAATGTAAAATTTAAACAAAAGCATTAAATTTTTTAAAATTATAAATACTTTGGCTACTTTGATAACATTTTGAATAATACGAAAATCGTTAATAATATCTTGTGATGGAACTTGCTGTTCATCATTGCTGCTCGTTTTTTGTTCCTTAAGATGATGCAATGAAGTCAAGATGTTGATAAATGAAAATCTTAAACAACATAAGGATATTCGTTCTATTTAATAAAAATAAAAATAAACGGTTTATATAATTTAATCCTTTGGAAATTAAAACTTTTTTTTTTTTTTTTACCATCAAATGACAAGCCGGCAACAGCCAATTCATTTAATTCATTATCATTCTCGTCAAACGTTAACAATTCAACAGCAGATAGGCAACCATTAAAAAATAATTTCTTCAAAAAATCATCCAATAGAAGTGAAGATTCCTCTCCAGCACTGTTTGCAAGTATGTGACAGAATGCGAGAGGTGCAATTGTTCGGAAAAGGTTACGTAAAAAAGGTTTTGTAATGGTTTGTGATCTGTTCAGATCCTTTAATATGTGTAATTTTCGATTACAAATTGTTATATTTATCCAATAAAAGAAAATATTCAAAACACTTGGACATCATAAGAAAACTTACCGAAATAAATTTATCACACCAATCACCTGACACCCTACAGCCTTCTAAAAATGTCATCATCTGTTTCACCTTTGTTGAGTCATTTTCATAATCCTCATCAATTATTACAAATTCTTCTTTAGATAAGTCACAAAAAGAAAGGAGCATAGCAGGTAAAATAGGTTTTCCTATCTTAATCCCCAACCGATCTTCACATATTTCAAAGAAATTTCGTAGAAAAAGTTGCGTGGTCCAATCTTTATAATGTATCATATCTATGTTTCAATATTTAAACATCAAACATACACAGATTTGTAATATAATCATTAGTTTACCAAATTTCCGAGATTCGTCATAAAATTGGCGAATCAAAATGGCATTTGAATTATGGATATCTAAAAATAATGTAGCGTTATAATCAATAAATTCAGAAATATCATATATATAGTGAATAAATAAATAGCTTACTGTCTTGGTCATAATCATTTGGGAAAGACGAAATATATCCTGCCAATAATTTCATCAATCCTTTAAGTACCATATATATATTATCTATACTATTCATTATTTGGAAAGACATGGCTTTACGTTGGTCAAATAAAGAAGCCATAGACTTCAATAATGGAAAAGGAATGGACTTTATAAACCAACTAATGTTTGCTGGCGGCAACGTTGAAACGGATGGAAATAAAATAACCTTAAGAATATCAAGTGATAGAGATAAGGTAACTTTTCTTCCATCTAAATTCGAGCTATTCAAATATGGCATCACACAATACTTAATATATTCTCTGATGTCAAGTAAAAGTTTATTATCGCTCCATTCTCCAATATCAAAAAGGGTTAATTCAATGGGCGATTTAGCGGTATTACCCTTAAATCATATAAATGATAATTAATAAAAAAAGATTTTAATATATACCAAATAATAATAAAATACATTACCACCATCGCAAGAATAAGAAAGTCAATCAAGTTTTTTCGTTCTTGCAAGTTAAAACACAAAATTCCTTTATCAAGGGAAGACAGTGTGTATTGAATTACTTTAATAACCAGAGCAGGAGACTTTGAAGTTTGGCGGAACCAACATACAGATCCAATTTCACGTAAAATATCGATAATTAACAGTCCTTCACCCTTATTATGTATACAATCTGATAATAATCGGTTAAGCATAAAATAAGGCGCAATCATTGATAACTATATTTAAATAACGACAAGTAAGTAACATACATAAAGATAGCTAAATTATAAAACATTGATCATACCTCGATAAGAGCATCAACATCACTTGATCTAATATAGTCTTCTTTGTTTTTAATTATTAACTGTGATTTATCATCACTGCTTTTTTGGCTATTTTTTTCTGCTGTGAAAACAATCTGATTACAGAGCGTAGTGAGGCGTTGATCATATTCAATTGGCCATATTAACCAATCATCGAAAGTAGGTGATCTAAAGTCTGTATCAGAAGGTCTGACTTATATATAAAATAATCCTCTGTAAGAATTGTTTACAGATTTTTGAAATATATAACAGAAACGATTACCTATCAGATAACATAAAGTCACGAAATAAACATCTTGTATGACGCGGTAATAACGAGAACGCTTTGAGGAATATGTTTATACCAGTCTTTGCTCGTTTAAATATCGAGTGAGTTGAATAATGTTATCGTAACTAAATTTAAAAAAAAATTACACGCTTACTTTAATTTTATTCTTGTTTTCTCCGTGATTTTTAATGAGCCTTTTGATACTTTGATATAATTCTCTTTGGAATCCATAATCAACAATTAATCCACTAAAAATCTCTTCATCGATATTTAAACTGATAATGCAATATCAAAGGTATAAAATAAAAAAGTAATAGATATAAATAGAAACTAAATTATAGTGATTTATATATATATTTACTCGTTAAATAGATCAATATATTGAACCATTAGTTTTAAAAGAGACACGAATCCAAGTCGTCCAAATCTGATAGAATTTACCACCCAATGACAATAATTGGTCAAATCCTTTTTCGTTAGGCCTTCTTTCGGCGTACCTAATTTAAAAGTCAAATCGGAGTCTTCAATTCTATTAGCGAATGATGCGTTATAATCAAGATTTCGTCGAAGAGATTGACAAATTGTGATAAACGCCGCTTCATGTTTAGTTATACTTTCTCTATTTTTTTCATTATTTGAATTCAGATCGTAAGGATTTAATGACGCATTTTGGTATTCGGATTTATCCTCTCGTAAACTAGAACGATCAAAATTATATTAAACTTAAACATTAATTCATGCAATATGCATAAGATAATACACACACATATATACATTACCGTCGAGAAATTCTTTCTGATCGAGACTATTTAATACAAAGAATTTTAGATATAGTAATTGCCAAAAGCTCTTAAAACTTTAACACTTACCTCAAAATTAGAAAGTCTTTGAGGTGGTTCGATATTAATTAATTCTAGAAGATAATTAATTGATTCGTTTTCGGTTGAATATACTTTATTAAGTGAGCTTAATACGTCTATTACATATAAGAAATAATTTATTAAGCGTTATTTATTTATTGTACACAAGAGTAAACACATTACTTGTTAGATCTGCTTCTTTTAACTGTAATATAACTCGACGTATGATATACTTCATTGAAGGATTTACTTGAGATGAATGTCGATCACCTTTACAAGCAATAAGTGTAAGACAATCGAATAAACATAACAATTGATATAGATATTTATTATCTCCAAATGCTCGTTTTGGTCTTGTATTTAAACTTTCAAATGACCTGAACCATTGAATAGAAATATCAAAAAAAGGTATTATAAATCTTAACAATAATACTATAGAATATTTGTATCTTACTTTGAAGTATTTATAATTTGGCTAACCATCTGATCAGCGCGTTTTTGACGCGATTTTGAAATTTTGTCAGGGTAAAACGAAGTCGAAAACAAATAATCTACTTCGACATTACTTTGAATATTTTCAAAATTTTGTGGAGTATCAAGATCTTTATTCAGAGATGAATTATAATCCAAATGACTTTTGATGTGGATAGCAGTAGAATGAAGCAATTCAAAAAGTAGTTTATCATCTAATATTTGTATAATAGGAAAATTGCAATAAATTAATAAAATTGAATACAAAAATTATAGATATTATAAAATTTACCCGTTTTGATTATCTTGCAGTGTTCTGCCATCATTTGCAATAAACTCAAAACAAATTCTGATCTATGTTGGCAGTCAAGACTATTGCACACGTTTAAAGCTGGATCATAAACAGTTCTTAAACCATATGATGGATTTGAATATATTAAACTCTCAACAATCTTTTGAACTGTCTGTTATTTATAAGAAAAATGTGTATAAATTTTAATGGATAAATTAATAAATTGCAAAATGAAAATAAAATAGAAATAGAAATCATTATACCAGCCGTGGAATCGAGTATAGTAATTTTCTGACTTCATTTTCCAAATTCAATGCTTTTATCAATTCCAAGTAAAGGTCCGCACTTAATATAAAATTCATTTTAAAAATATTATAATCCAATTGATCTAAAAGAAAATCATCAATAAAATATGTAAAAGTACATCATAATCACGGCTTTGAAAATTATGATAAACACCTGCTGGACTTTGATGTCGTTGCCATATTTTAAACAAAAGCGAAGTAAGAACAAACTTATTTGATTCTAAGTCACTGGTGGAAGTTATCAGTTTCGACAAGGTAGGCACAAGATAGTCAATACTTTCTTGTCTGAATAAAATAGTTTTGAAGAAAGCGGCATCACATTTGAAATTATAATATAGGAATTTCTTTTATTAAAATATTCTTTGTAATAAGTTACATAATAATGTATAAATAATTACGCGTTAAAATCTTTTACAGCAAGTGTCGATAAGGTACTTAAAAGGTCATTCTTACATAAAATGTAAAAAATGACGTTAGTCTTAACAAAAAAAGGATTAATAAAGGAAGAAATGATTTTAAATTTAATACTTTGAAGCATTCTACAAGAGACATTTCAATTTGGTATTTTGTTTAAAATTAATTGCATCATTTGTCGATTTATTTACTTTAAAACAATTAATGTCATGTGATATTATCGGTTGCACGAGCTTTCATTATGATTGGCCAATTTTGCAGATCATTTAGTATTTTCTTATCAAAAATTAATCAATCAAAAGACGAAACAATTATCAAAAAGACATTTAGTTAATCAAAGATATTTAGTGTGATATTTAGCCCAAATGAAAAGATATTTAATAAAGAGATTTTATAAAATCAAAATTTTTTTTTATTGTTTATTTATTAATCTATTAAACTAAAATATTTTTCACTTACACTTTATATAATAATCTTCCTAAATTATATATTCGTTAAAGCATTAACAGCTCTTTCAAAAAGTAGGTCTATATTATTATCCAAAGAAAGATATTTGTTGCCAATAGTATCATCAACAGGTTCAGTATATCCAACTTATTTCTACTCTATCTGTATTATTTTGTCAAATAAAGTCAGTCTTCTGATAACTCTGACAATTTTTTCTGTGTCAAGTTATAGATAGATAAACCATATGCTTCTGATATAAGCATATATTTACACTAGTTGAAATCATTTCTTTCGGTACTAATACCTTTCGGTTGACATTTATCCGATTAGGTCATGTGATTCGGCAAAAATTCAGCTTAAGTTACAAAAATCAATAGTCATTTGTTACATTGTGCATTATTTTGGTACTGATACCTTTTGGTAAACATTCAGCCGATTCGATCATGTGATTCAGAAAATATTTGGCTTAAGTTACAAAAATCAATAGTAATTTGTTACATAATACATAATTTAGCATTATTTTAACATTAAGACCTTTCGGTTATAATATTCAGCAAAATTTAAGTTAGACTCAAGATTTGGTAACAAATCGATTATATCTCATTGGTCGAAATCTATTGAGCTGATTTTTGCGAAAATTATAAAAACATTCTAAGAGTAATCATTCCAAAGAGACGATACATTCATTCCAAAAGAGACGATAAAAATCTTCTCAAAACGAACGAAATATCGTTCTCAGACGATAGAAATTGTCTCAAAAGGAACGATACATTCGTTCCCAAAAGAGACAATAGAAATTGTCTCAAAAGGAATGATACATTCGTTCCCAAAAGAGACGATAAAAATCGTCTCAAAAGGAATAAATTATTGTTCCTAAAGAGATGATAGAAATCATCACTAAAGGAACGATACATTATCATTCTGAAAAGAACGATATTTTTTTATTGTTCTTTCAGAATGATACATCATCGTTCTTTTTAGAATGATGTTTTTTTATCGTTCTGAAAGAACAATACTTCATCATTCTGAAAGAATGATGTTTTTTTTATTATTCTTTCAGAACGATACATCATCATTCCAAAAAAAATGATGTTTTTTATCGTTCTTTTAGAACGATTTTTTTTATCATTCTATTGGAACGATACATCATCGTTCTGAAAGAACAATGATTTTTTTTATCGTTCTTTCAGAATGAGATACATAATCATTCTGAAAGAATTTTTCTATATTATTCATAAGAAATGATTAAATATTGTTCCTTTTGAACGATTTTGTCATCGTTCAGTTGATTTTGCAATCAGATGATGCAAAATCATTCATTTGTAGTATTTATGATAAATAGTCTAAATTTCAGATTAACTGAAATTTTAGTTTAGTTTACAATATAAAACTGATAAACTTTCGGAATATTCTGAAAAAATTTATTTCTTCTTTTTTTGAGCTGATTTTTAGGCGGAAATTTAACCTTTTCCTTTCTTTTTTCTTGTTTTTTTAGGAAATTCTTATTTTGGAATTAAGGTAAGTGAATCGGAGTTGCCTTTGTGGTATTTTTCTTTCTTTGTTCTTATTTTTAGAAAATTCTTATTTTAGAAATTAAGGTAAGCAAATCAGAAGTAACTTTTAGATAGTTTTAACTCTTTTTCCTTTATTTGTCTCTGTTTTCTTAGGAAATTTCTCTTTTCGAAACTAAGGTAAGCCTTTCAGAGGTGACTTTTGGATGATTTTTAACCCTTTATTTCTTTATTTTTTTTCTTTCTTTAGGAATACATTAGGGTAAACCTTTTAAAGGTGGTTTTTAGTGGATTTTCTAACTGTTTTCTTTATTTTTTCTTTACTTTTTTTAGGAATACATTAAGGCAAGCCTTTCGCAGGTAATTTTTAGTGAGTTTCTAACTGTTTTCTTTATTTTTTCTTTACTTTTTTTTAGGAATACATTAAGGTAAGCCTTTTACAGGTGGATTTTAGTGGGTTTTCTAACGATTTTCTTTATTTTTTCTTTACTTTCTATAGGAATATATTAAGGTAAGCCTTTCAGAGGTGATATTCTGATGGTTTTTTAACTGTTTTCTTTATTTTTTCTTTACTTTTTTTTAGGAATACATTAAGGTAAGCCTTTCAGAAGTGATATTTTGGTGGTTTTCTAACTATTTTCTTTATTTTTTCTTTACTTTTTAGGAATACATTAAGGTAAGCCTTTCGGAAGTGATATTTTAGTGGGTTTTCTAACTGTTTCTTTATTTTTTTTTAGGAATACATTAAGTTTAGCCTTTGGAAGTTGATATTTTGGTAGTTTTCTAACTATTTTCTTTATTTTTTCTTATTTTTAATAAATCAAATGTATCTTTTTTAAATAAAATAAAATACAATATATATTCTTTTTGAGTAATTTATTATGTAATAATAAAATAAATTATAAATCATAAATAAACAAAAAATGAGTTTTATTAGTTTCGATTTTTTAATTGATTTTTGCTGATTGTTAACCTATTTTAAGCTGATTTATGCTGAATTTTAACCAATTTTTAACATAAATGCTGATTGATAGCCAATTTTCTATTTATTCAAAGTGCTGATTTTTTGGTAATAATCAGCAGAATAAGACTATATTTTGGCCAACTTTCTGCACTTTAAGTGTAACAAATTGTATTATTTTGCCTAGTAATATATTAAATAACTACCAATTGTTAATGTCGAATTTTTTTGTGTAATATAAAAATAGGCAACTTCAGCTATAACTAAAAATGCCGATTGTTTTGGCAAAAATCAGCAGAAATTAGACTATATTTCAGCTAACATTCGGCACTATAAAAAAGTGACAAAATAGATTATTTTGACTAGTGTTAGTGATGAAAAAAAAAACTCTTTCTCCTCGTTGGATTTTTTCCAAGAATTTTTACTTTAAAAAAGTGTCCGTTCAATGGCGGTCGCGGCTTAGCCTGCGAACAAAACAAAAAACCTCACCTTTCAAAAATATTCCTCTCTTTGTTCCTCACACCTCTCTCCACATAAAAATTTTCGAAATAGTCTAAACCGTGTTGTTTTTTGTTAAAATATTTTTTTTTCACCTCTTTTCGAAAAATTTTTTCCGTTTTTTTCTCTTTTTCTTTTTTGTTTACAAAAAGTGGGCATCCAGGGGTATTCAAACTGACAATCATGATCGACACACTTTGGATAAACAAATCTCACGTGATGATCTCCTTTCCCTTTCTAAACAATACACTCTCTTTTGATTGGCCTTTGCCTTTCTGCAGATCCTCTGTCATTGAAGATCACGTGCAAATTTAGCGTTATTCTACTTTGGTATCTCCAGACGTCGTCTATTTAGAGTAATGGTAGCTACCACTTGATCTGGTATTTTTGTTAGCTTAAACGGGTTTGAAATAGAGCAACGGAGGCCTTTGTTGTCAAGATCCTTACTCGGTATAAGTTCGCTTCATCTAGATCCATGTCTTCATGTTAACCAGATAAAGGGTATAGGTTACTATCTGTTGATGTCTTTGTAGATTTTTTGTAGTGAATTCCATGTGATATTTTTTCTGTACTTATGAATCTATAAGTATGAAGAGCCTCTTTTTAGACCTTTTTTTAGACACACCCTCTTTGGTCGGGTGGTTGTTATATCCAGAATTAACTGGACATTTAGGTTTTTTTATAGAGTCATGTTTAGTTTTTTGTAAATTTCTATTTGTGCCAATTCCCTACTTCGGGTGTTATTTTTAGTGTTAGAATTTTCTTTTGAGGGAAGTTAGGGTTCGATGGACATTTAAAAATTAGATGCTTTCTGACACTTTATTTTCATCCCCTTTTGGGGATGGCAGTGATTAGTCGACTCAAACAAGTTTGAAATAGAACCACGAAGGTAAGTTGTGTATTTTAGTATTTTTTTTAGAATTTTTTTATTTTCTTCAATTTACAATACAAAATAAAGTACTGCGGCTAGACTGCATCGTTAACAATTAAAAAAAAAAAAAAATTATTTTGACTAGTGTTATTTTTGCTTTTTTTTGCATTTACAATAAATTTGTTGTAATGTTTTAGCATAAAGCATTTTTTACTAAATAAAGATTTTGATTAAAACTTGGTATATTTATTTGATCAAAAATAATAGATATGTTATGTTATTCATAATTATAGATAATGTTATTTTGACCTTTTAAATTATAATACTAAGCCTTTCTTTTACCTTTTTTATTGTT